ACTAACTTAGTTGTTCTTGCTGTAGAAAGTTGCTTTGAAAAGCTGTTTGTTCTCACAAACACAAAATCTGTGTATTAGAGGTTCTCTAATGCATCTCCTAAATTAGTTACAGGCAGCAACATTTTGGAGCAGGAAAAGGAGACCCAGGAATGCCAGAAACAGACAATGGTAAGAAAGGTCTGGAATGGGCTTTGAGGGGTCTCTGTGTCTCTGCCCTTCCCTCCTGATGCTGAAACATCTGCTGGCACTCACATTTGTTTGCATTATATTAAAAATTATTTTCCTCTTCAGCTGTTAACTGAGAAGCTCATAGAAGAACTGAGGCTGTTAAACCAAACCTCTGCAGAAGAGAAGGAGGTGCTTCAGGTGAGACTGTCACTGACTCAACCAGGCAATGAGCAGTAGGTGCTCAGCGAGGTTATTTTGCTCCTCTTTTCTCCACATGAACTAGATGAAAACCTGTAGTACTCGTTTTTTGATATAAATGTGTTCAGGAAACTGTGCTACTCCTCTTCTAAATAGAGGAAGCTGCCAGTGTGGTTGTTACTCTGGAATTCAGAGGATCTGATATAACTTGGAAGCTGTTGCAGAGCAGCAACCTTGGGTAGTGTCTCAGGAACTGAGAAGGGCGCAAGCACAAGTGGCTTCAATACTTATCTATACACAGACCAAAACAGTCATTGAATTACAGCTCTGCAGTCCTTGGGAAGAGACTTAACAGCTACTTCATTGATTAGCTCTTACATGAGACTTGCTAAATTTTGGTTGCAGGTAAATTGACATTTTCCTCCAGCAGCCAAGGTAAAGAATGCCACACTTAAGCCTGGTTTAGGGGGAAGGGCTCAGATCTTTGGCTGGAGCTGCTTTAGGACGTGGTTTTGCTGTTCCTTCCTCTGGTGTTGGTAACACGGGGTGTGCACTGACTCCTCCACAGGCAGGGATGGACATGTGGAAATCAGCAGAGGAGGAGAGCCAGCAGTCCCTGGAGAACCATTCCTCCTTCCAAGCAGAAATCGAGGAACACACAGCAACACTCAATGAGCTGGAGCACCTCCTGGCGATGTGAGGCATGAGGACGGACTGGACTGGGGTTCTGGGGGTTGTGTTTGCTGTTGTACCCCTGGTTCAGCGGTCCCTGCCCCGCAGCAGCCGGGATGGCTGGATCCCGGTGTGTCCCGTCGGTACTTTGCTCCATTAAAGGTGCAGGACTGTCCTCCGGCCCCTCCCGGGCGGGGAGCGGGGCGGGGCCGCGCGTGCGCGCGGGGTCGCGGCGGGGAGCGGCCATGGCGGCGGCGGTGCTGGGGCGGGCGGCGGGCCGTGCGAGGCGGCCGCGGGCGGCGCTGGCGACCGTGCTGCGGCGGGGCGGCGCGGGGCTGGCGGTGGACGACACGGTGAACGGGCTGAGCGCCGAGCAGCGCCAGGTACGGGCTGAACGCGGAGCAGCGCCGGGGACCGGCCGGGCCGGGAATCCGCGCCCGGGGGGGTGTGGCGGGCCCGGCGCGCACCCATTGGTTGCAAGCGGCGGGCGCCGACCAATCGCCGTGCGCGCAGGGGGGGGCGCGGCACTCGGCACTGGCGCGCCCCGGACACGTGGCCCGCCCGGGACACCTTTCCCGCCCGGGACACCTTTCCTGCCCGGAGCACCCGCTCTCCTCGCCGTGGAGCACCCGCTGCGACCACGCTGGGCCTCCTGCATCGCGAGTCGTCTCCAGACACGTGGTCACCGAAGGAACAAGTCGCTTGGGTCTCATCAGATCTTCTCAAAAGAAGAGTTGCAGCTCTCCCAGCCTGTTCTGCCCAACGGAGCACCTAAAGATTTAGGATAATAGTTCTTGGACCTCATAACAGTCTACAGCTCCCTCCCAATGTGCAGCACCAAACTCTGCTCTGGTGACCAGTGACAGAACTCAGGGAACAGCTGGAGCTGTGCTAAGGGAGGTTTAAGCTGGATATTGGGAAAAGGTTCTTCCCCCGGAGGGTGGTTGGGCACTGAACAGGCTCCCCAGGGCACTGGTCGTGGCCCCAAGGCTGCCAGAGCTCAAGGAGCATTTGGACAACACCCTCAGGGACAGGGTGGGATTGTTGGGGTGTCCTGTGCAGGGCCAGGAGTTGGACTTTAATCCTTGGGGGTCCCTGCCAACTCAGCATATTCTTTGTTCTGTATCTAATGTGAGTTTTGGGGTTCTTTTAAGTTTTTAAATCTATCAGTTGGGAGAAAGCTTGTTTGGTGGTACTGGAATCCATGTGGCCATGGAAATTTAACATATCTCTTTATTGTAAGAAAGAGAATGCTTCGGTGACAGGGAGGTGTGGGCACATTTTGGTTTGTTGCTCCTGCTCCTCGTACAGGTTCTGGTTAAACAGCACAGGGTTTCAGTCTCTAAAACCATCCCTTCACCAGCGTTAATTGGTGAGAATAAAGAACCAAAAAAGATAAAAAAGGGATCATTAAATTCTGCTGTAATATACAGGCAGAAGTTTTAAATCTTTGTATTAAAGACACTTCATTATTGAAGTGTGTATAATTTCTTAGTTTGTGTATAGACTTCTGCAGAATACATGTATATATTCAAGTGTATTTATGTATTTAATTCAAGTATGTATTTAAGGTTTAGAAAAAAGATTTTGAGTTTTTTAACACTTGGATCAGTGAACATACCTGGCTCTATCAAACTTGCCCTCTGTAGAAAATAGTAGGATAGATAATGGAATTCCAGTTTCATATGTGGACACATTTTAATGAGCATCTCTAACTACTATAGGCATCTACAGGTAATTAAATGGCACTATAATCAGCCAGTGTTTGGGGTTAGCACCTTATAAGTGCAGTTCACCTGCTTTCAAAGTTCCCTGCCCAAAAACATGCCCCAAAACCCCAGTGCAGGCAGGAGTTCAGGAACATTCTCTCATGTTGGGGTGAGATTAAGGTAAATGCTGAGATGAACTTAAGTATTTCAGCTCCTTTTTAAAAGACTAAAACCAATGACCCTTTCATGGGGTATTCCAGCCAGTAAACTGAACTGAGGATTTCTTTATGGTCCTGTGCTTCTGGGTTTGGGATGCTGGAATTGCCTGGCAGGGGAATGTTGGCAGGACCTGTGGGAAGATGAGGATGTATTGATGAGATGCAATATGTGTGTTCTTCCTCCCCTCTTCTCCCAGCTTAGACAGACCATGACAAAGTTCTGCCAAGAGCATTTGGCTCCAAAGGCTCAACAGATTGACCAGGAGAATGAATTCAAAGGCATGCGGGCAAGTATTCCATGTGTATGTGTGGAAAAGGGGGTTCTTGGATCTGCACCTTAGTCCAGACAATCCCAGTGCACACCACAGGAACATGGCATTAGCTTTTCAAACTTAAAAGCCACAGAGAACCTTTTTATGATTTCCTCTTTTATCGTTTTTTTACCAATTTTCAGCACCCTGGGGCAGAACCCAGAGGTAATAATAAAAAATATGGATAATGGTCTTGTTCAGGTTCTTACCATGGGGTTTCTGCTCGGCTCTGTTCAGGCTCCTTCCCCAACACGTGTGCTTTGTGTTTTCCTGGCTCAGTCCCTCTCTTGGACATGAGTTTCCTCTCAGACTTGTCGTGAAAATATTTGTGTGCAAATGCCGAGACGTGGGGTTTGACTGTCCAGCTGAAGCTTGCCTTCCTCATAAACCTGACAAGTTCTGTGCCACGGGGTGCTTTGACTGCTGGAAACAAGAGATCTGACTGTTGGTTTTCATAAGCTCCACAAGACTCAAAAAGCTCTAAATGTGTGCCAGGATGTCCCAGAGTTCTCATGTTGACATTTCCAGGGATATATGCGTGGCTTTGAAGTGAAGTGTGTAAATTTACCCTGGCACTCCAGGTGTCATCCAGAGCTGTTGAATTGTACTTTTTGGATTCTCTGGAGATTAATCCTGATAATTATCTTATTGCTGGACACAGAGGCCATGTGGGGAGAGCTCCCCTGGGTGTCCATCGTGTAGCAGAGGAAAGGAGCAGCAGGGAGATGGTCCCACCAGGATACGTGTGATCCTCGGTGGGGAGGACCATCCTTTCCTTCTATGTTACATCGTGGCTGTAACATTCCTGTTTTTTAATCTCTCCCAAGGAGGCTTCCTTGCCTTTAGTTGCCAGTTCCTGTTTTACTGGAAGAAGAATAGAGAAAAACCACTGGAAGAAGTGATTTTAAAGTGCCACCTCACAGCATCTCTTCCTGTTTCCAGGGTTTTAGTCATGGAGAACTTATGCTATTTCACTGAAATTTTACTTAAAGTGAGCAAAGATTCGCATCTTAGGAGTTGTCCTTCCGGAAGTAATTTTAGCCCTGTGAATATTCACTGAATTCCACCAGCTCCTCGCACGTGTAGCCCAGCCTGTGTCCTCAGGCCTGCCCGAGTTCTCAGCCCCAGGGCTGGAGCTGCACTGTGGGAGCAACAGGGTATCGATGGATTTACCTCATTCCTGTGATGTCCCGGGGACAAACTGATGTTTCCAGTGAGCTCCCTGGGGAAACTTTTTATGCTTGATGCCCTGACTGCGAGTGTGGGCTCATTCCTTGTTCTGTGTTTGTAGGACTTTTGGAAGAAACTTGGAGAACTGGGAGTTCTGGGGATCACAGCTCCTGGTAAGTCTGTTCCTACCTTTTACCTCCTGCTGGGAGAGACCACTTAAACTCTCACTTTCCAGTCCATAGCAGCCTTGTCTCTGATGTGACATCCATTCTATCCCATCACTGTGTCTTTAAAAAAACTTTCCAAACGGATGTTTTTCTTCTCTGGGTCCAAATCCTTTTTCATTGTCAGACTTCTGGATGGTTACAGAATGGCCTGTCACCATTTAAAAGCACTGCTCAGAAATGGTTTCTCCAGGTGTAACGTGTGCACCTCAAACACCTTTGTGCATTTCTGATATGAAGCAAGATTGGAAGAAGGAGAGCTAGAGGTAAAAGTATCCATGAACAAGTGTTCATTTGTAATGGGAGAAGTTAAAGGGTCTAAACTAATGCTCTGAAAAGGTGAGATAAGTAATGGAGAGCTGACCACAGCCAGAAGAAAATGAGGGTAAATCTTACTGAGCCCTGTCCAGGTCAGTGCAAGTGTTCTAATGAATGTTACAGATGAGTGTGGTCATGCTGAAAGCAGAGCAGGGGAATGAGAAGCCTTGAGTGGAGAAAAGGGGCTGATGGGGCCTTTCTTTCCCAGTGGACAAGTCTGTTTTCTAGATGTGGCTGTGGAAAGGCCTCTGCAGGATCCAGCTGAATAGCAATGTCAAAATAATGCCTCTGCCTCTCTCAGTGCTAGAAGACTTTGCATTTCTGCTTTCTCTCCCTTTCCTCTTCCCCATTTACTGCTGCTCCTGGTTTTTCTCCCTCTTCCCTTCTTTCTCCTCTGATGTTGTGCCCAAGGCTTACAGTAGTTTCCCACATTATCAGTGAGCCATCCCCTCCTGAGTCCTGTCCTTTATCTCAAAGGTTTACCTCTCAAACCCTCCTACACCCAGGATTTTCCACCTTGTTTTGGATTGTGGACTTGTGTGATTCTTTATTGGTGTCAGGTATGTTGAAGGAGGTGGAGCCTGGGATTTAGGATGTGGAGATGGTGTGGAGTCTTACATGGGCATACACAATTAAATATTTGGGCACTGGTGGATCAAGCCTATTAAAGGAGCATTTTGAATAAGTGCTGTTTGTTTTCTTCTGAAAACTGAGAAAGCTGTGTTGTTTGTGATTTCCCATTTATTTTATGAAGTGTTAAGTTAGGAAATGCAAATATGTACTTACCACAGAACACTAATACAGGTATGTCATGTATACAGAATAACTCTGAAAGGGCAGCATCATTCTAAATCACACCATGGCTTCTGTTACATGAAGAGGAGTCTGGCAGGATCATTTTCCTGTTCCTCTTGCAGGGCAAAGCAATCCTGCATCAGGAATGCTCACAGTTGAGCAGTTTGCCTCTCATGAGGCAAAAGCACCAAATCCAGCCATTTTATAGGAATTATTAGAAAACTCTCTTGTTTTGGCATATATGACAAACTGTTAGCCCCATCTTTTAGGATATGGAGAGCAAACCCCTGCACTCTGGTTTGTGGTAGAGAGAGGAGATTCCAGAGGATGAAGAGCCCTGCAGGTAAAGGCAGGAGTTGAAACGAGTCGAGTGGGAGGAAAGGCTGCACATGGTGCCAGTGGCTGTGGGGTTCATTTGAGGGATTTGGGACCTCTCCAAGCTCAGCCCTTTGGTCACCCTGAGCACACAGACAGATTTGCTCTTACCCCTGTTGCTCTTGTTTGCAGCCCTCACGTTGGTGATGAGTAAGTGTTCCTGGGTTTCCTCCCCCGCTGCTGCTCAGTGGTTGTGTCCTGATGTAGCTCTTCCCTTAGCAGTACAACCACTTGCTTCCTACTGTAGAACAAAGCATTTAGGCTGGGAAGGGACTGTATTTGTGTGTAGATAAAGTGTGGTAGGTATATATCTAAATATTTGTGTAGGCTGTTAGCTGCTCAAGGCCATTATGCATTTCTCAGCCTTCTCTTTTTACTGCCTTCCCTCTCCTTGTTCTACTGTGTGACCTTAACCCTTACCACTAGTTTTAGGCTCAGCTCAGTGTGCCCAGCTGGGTTCTCAGTGCTGCTCTGTCTCGCTTCATCCTCTCTCGGAATCCACGTTTTTGTCACTGGTGAATTACATATTCCTTGTATAATTCACAGCAGTTACACTTATGCATCATTCTCCTTCTGAATCGGCCACTCCTCAAAATTCTGGTGTCCTGCACACTTGTGGGCTCAGAAAAGTCCTTAGTGCCCCATTTTTTTTAACAGTTTGAGGATTCCTCTCTTGTTTGGGGGCAAGCACATGTGGACTTCACAAACCTTGCCTGTGTTCCTTTGTCTGCTCACCTAACAGAGGTTGCTCTTGGTGATTTAACCTTTATGGTCACATGAAGGTTGCACCTGAGGATGGCTGACAAAAAGGACTCGTTGTGCAGTGTCAGTATTATTTGGGATGTGTCCTTGTGCGTGTTCTGCATATCAACTGTGCTGTACAACTAAATGGTTGATTATGCTGAAAAAATAGTGTCCCTGTGCCTTGAGGATGAGCACTGAGATCCAGAGAGGATGAGGAGAGCCAGCAGGGCCCAGCTCAGGGACAGTGACAGACCCAGAACCGTTCCAAGTGTCCTGGATCTCAGCCGAGGCCGAGCCCAGCCCCGGGCTCTCGTGCACGTGGTGGGTAACGGGAGGTCTTTCCCCTTTCCCAGCGGAATACGGGGGCTCTGCCCTGGGCTACCTGGAGCACGTGCTGGTGATGGAGGAGATCTCGCGCGCGTCGGCGGCCGTGGGGCTCAGCTACGGCGCCCACTCCAACCTGTGCATCAACCAGCTCGTGCGCAACGGCAACGACGCCCAGAAACACAAGTACCTGCCCAAGGTCCGTGGCTGGAGCGGGGGGAAAGCTGGGAAGCAGCTGAGTTTGGGCTGCAGGGGTGGGTGTCTTTCACAGTGTGCGATACCGGAAGCACCAGCAGAATTCAGGCACCAAACCTTGGGGAATACTGAACTTGCCAAACTTCTGTAGCTGGTCAGTTGTTGTCCTGTTAATCCGCACTGACCTCGTCCCATGCCAAGCTCCATGCTGGAGCTATGTGACTAAAAGAGGCTTTGAGGCGGCACTGGTGATGTTCTTCCAAGTTCCCAAATTGTTTTGAGACCTCTGAGTGAAAGCCACTGCTTTCCTGTCTTACGTTCCCCATTTCTCACTGCCCAAACGCTTGGCTTGCCTGCTAATTACCTACGTGTGAAACTCCATCATCTTTTGGGGCGTTGATGTTCGTGACTCCAGTGTGTTAAATAAATTTCAGTTTTTAAATGCATGGAAGAGCAACGAGCACATCGAATGAGCCGCTGAGATTATCAGTGAAAGGATCAGCACGAGACACTTGATTTAAGCCGCATGCAAAGTGCAGTGTCGCTTCCTCAGAGCACTGTGCACCCTGCAGATGTGTGACCCCGAGCTGCCCTCGTTGCTCAGGTGTATTTTCATGCCTCATTCTCAGCCCCTCCATGAGATGTGCAGCCACTTCAGCTCTGACTCGTCTTGGTTCCTGACAGAGCACTTAGAGGTGCTTCACTAGATTTGAGCAGATCATGAAAACTTCCGTAGTGGTGCGTTGATGGCTTCAATTGGTTGAACATACCTTAGGCATTGAGTCTGTTTTTTAAGGAAAAAATAGAGATCAAAACGGGGAGAGGATGGATAAAAGTACACAGGGAGGGCAAAAAGGCAAGGAGAAAAGGGCAGAGTGAAATAAGAGTGAAGAGGAAGCAACAGCTCTGCCAGAGCCTGGTGTGGGCAGGCACAGGAGGAGGGTGTCCATCTGCCATTGTGGGGTGAGCGTGGGGGGACTGGGCTGTGAAAACATTGTGGACAACTTTTCCAGCCCTTTTCACCCCCTCGTTGGCCTCTTGTGTTCCCCAACTGCTGTTTGTGTAAAAGGGCAGCACAAAGCACAGGCAGGAGCTGGGCAGAGGCATATGGTGCCTGCGTGGTTCTTTGGCACTTCCTCGTGTGTTGTGCAAGCAGGGCTGTGCTTGTCTAGCTCAGGCAGAGCTGAGTCATCTCATCCCACTGGGATGTGGTTCTGTTCCCTGAGCACAGCACGAGGGAGCTCCTGCTCAGGCTGTGCCGGGAACGGCGGCTCTCGGTTTTGTTCCTGCAGAGAACAGTGGCTGTGGGGGTCCAGTGCAGGAAAACAGCCAGGGAGGGTAAAGAGGGAACAAACAACGCTGCTGCTCTCCCCCTTTAGCTTATGGTGGTGTTTTCTTGCAGCTGATCAGCGGGGAGCACATCGGGGCCTTGGCCATGAGCGAGCCCAACGCTGGCTCTGATGTCGTGTCCATGAAGCTGAAAGCAGATAAGAAAGGTGAGGCCTGTCCTGTGCTGCCCAGGGAGGTGGTGCAGTCCCCATCCCTGGAGGTGTCCAAGGAACGACTGGATGTGGCACTCAGTGCTCTGGGCTGGGGGACAAGGTGGGGATGGGGCACAGGTTGGACTTGATGAACTTGGAGGGCTTTTCCAGCCTAAATGATTCTGGGATTCTGTGAATCCTGTTCGGGAACACACAGAGTGGGGATATTGGTGTTGCTCCATTGTGAGCTAACAGATCTCATCTCTTGGCTTGCAGGAGACTACTTTGTTCTGAATGGGAACAAATTCTGGATCACCAACGGGCCGGATGCAGATGTGCTCATTGTTTATGCTAAAACTGACATTACCGCAGTCCCGGCCTCCCGCGGGATCACCGCCTTCATCGTGGAGAGGGTGGGTTCAGCCATTCCCACAGGTTGTTAAAGCTCAATCCCTCACTGCCTCATTTAAAGCCAGCTGGTTTTCTTTCTAGAACTGTCAGCCCCGTGCTCGAAGACAAACTGCTTTCTGCCTGAAAAATAGAAAAGGAACCTTTAATAAAAGAATATAAAATCTCAGGGATCAGTAAACCTTCCGGTGGACTTAACCTGGTGATTAGAATAGTTCAGTTACTGGCAGACCTTCATCCCTTGCTGTAGGAGGGGCTTTGTTGGCAGCTGTCCAATTCATTTATATAGTATTTATGTGCATTAGAAAATGGGTGCACGGGGTTCATGCAGGGGTGTTTCTCTGCACTTGCACTTAGACCTGTTCTAGGTCCCAGTTCCCTTTGACTCCCTCCTGGCACCCTGCACATATTCCTGTGGTCAGGGGAATTTCACAGACCTCTCGTGACTTTCCTTAGTCTGTCAGAATTGAGATTTGAACTGTGCTTTTACTACCTTGACTTTCAGGGAACGCCTGGTTTCAGGACAGCCCAGAAGCTGGATAAGCTGGGAATGAGAGGGTCTAATACCTGTGAACTGATCTTTGAAGACTGCAAGATCCCTGGTGAGTCGGGTTCCAGTTGGGGAGGTTTCCTGCCTGATCAGATAAGTTGGATCACTAATTACACCCATGTTCAGCCTGTGACCCAGAGGGCTTTGCAGATGTTATCTGCCTCCAAGGGAGCTGGTGGAACTGGAAGTGCAATCTGCTGGATTGCAGGGAGGGAGCACTTTCCTTGTCAGGTCACTGCTGTTTCGGCCTCATGGACCCACCTCTCAACCACTGCTTCTCCAAAGCCTCGCTGAGGCTTCCCAGGAAACTTGTTCCCATTAGAGTTCCCATCTCATATGTGGGTGAGCTGCTTTCCCTGGAAGGTTTTGTCACTGGAGACTCTCCAACAGGCTTTTGGGTTGCCTGTAACATGGAGTTCTTTTGGGGTCAGGGCCTGAAAATGGCCATCCTTACCCCACTAGTTAGTATAGCAGGGGCCTCTGTAATAGCAATATTTGTTATGCCAGTGGCTATTTTTGTTGATAGAAAATTTCCAGCCTCTCTAGAGCAAGTGGAGATGTCTTATCCAGAGTCATGAAAATCAGGATTGCACATCTGCAGAGCCAGGAGCTGTCCTGCTCCCCATACACCACCAAAAGCCAAAGTAGAAGAGTTTCAGCTGAAACCTGACATTTCTAACTATGCTGGATCCCTCCACTCTGAAATCAGAAAGGCCAGTGCCCCAGTCCTCTGATCATCTCCCAGGAATCATCTGCAGGGAGCAGCGTGTTCTCATGGAAACGGGATTTCCATCTTGTGGTGACATGGAGAGGCTCATCATTGCAGTGTTGGAAGTGAACACACTTGGCACTCTGGCCATTAGTGCTCCTTCTGATCTTTGGCCTTGGAAGCTGAACCAGTTTGAAGCCATTTCATGTGACTGCAGGATATTCAGTCCTTTCTCATAGAATCCCAGACTGGTTTGGGTCGGAAGGGACCTTGAAGGTCATCCCATTCCACCCCCTGCCATGGGCAGGGACACCTCCCACCAGCCCTGGTCTCTCCAAGCCCTGGAGAACACAGGTCCTCAGACAAACACAGGTCCTCAGACAAACACAGGTCCTCAGACAGCAGCTGGGCTGAGTTTTGCACATAAATAATCACTTTTCCTCTGCTCTTTGCAGCTGAAAATGTCTTGGGGGCCCTGAGCAAAGGAGTCTACGTCCTGATGAGTGGATTGGACCTGGAGAGGCTCGTGCTCTCTGGTGGGCCCCTGGGGTAAGGTTCTGTCATCTCTGATGGGCTGTAAGGCCAGAAGGGTCCTTGGAGGCCACCAGGCCCAGTGGGGCCCCTTCAGGGGCTGCAGCTCTCAGTAGGATGTGTCCTGGATGGAGAACTGGGATACTGGGGCAGCAGGAGAGAAGAGGCTGGATCAACCTTGGGAAGGAAGCGAGGTGCAGAGGAGGCAGGAGCAGGGACATCCTGTGGGGTATCCCAGCCCAAAGCAGCACAGGACACCAGCACCGGTGTAGCTGCTCCACTGGACTCTCCTGGAGGGTGCTTTGGAAAAGATTGGTTCCCAGAGGTGGTAAATCTGCCTCAGTCCCCGACTGCTGGCTTGTGTATCCCTCCAGTGTGGATTACTCTGGGAATAACCAGCTCATTTGCATTACTCATTCCTTAAAATTTGACACATTATCCAGAGAGTCACACACTGGTTTGTGCTTCATTTATTCAGTTCTTAAACTCCCCAGTAACTATTTGTACCCCACTCATTTTGTCCTCCCGAGTGGTCTCTCTGGACTAATCCTCATGTGGAAAGACCAACTTCCACAAAGCAGGAGGAAGATTTTTTTTTCCCCCTCCTTGTTCTTGCCTGTGCTTTTTTTATGGCATTGGCTGGTATTTCTTGAGTTGGGAGCTCTGGAGATGTGAGGCAGCACAAACTGTCCTGGCTGTGGTTGTGAGAAAGCTCTCCAAGTCTCAGCCCCTGAATTACAAGGCCAGACCTTATCACAGGATGTCCCAAAGAAGCACCAGGGAGAAATATGGGACCTTTGGATTTTATTCTCAGCCTTGTTTGAGTGGAGCTGTAGGAAGGCAGCAGGATACCATTTAGCTGTGAGAATCTTTTTGCCTTGGGTTATACCTCCAAAGCTAACTCATTATTAATGACTAGTTCTGCTGTTTCCCTTGTCCTGCATTACCTGTGCTTTTCTTAGGCTCATGCAAGCTGTCCTTGACCACGCAATTCCATACCTGCATGTCAGAGAAGCATTTGGACAGAAAATTGGCCACTTCCAGGTGAGGCAGAGGAGGAGTTAGGAAGGTTTGTCCTCTTTTTAGAATGGGAAGACCAAGAGCTTTGTTGTGGGGAGGGGGGCTTTGCACGGGGTTTGTGCTTGGGGCTGCATGATGTGATGATGGCCTAGTGGAAGGTTCCCAGCCCATGGCAGGGGGATGGAACTGGGTGAGCTTTAAGGTCCCTTCCAATGCAAACAATTCCGGGATTCCGAGATGTGGTGAGAAGGCAAAAGGATCTCTGAGCCTGCTCCCCTCAGGCTGCTGTGGGGGGTAAGGGACTGTGGCCGATATCTGGGAGTCTGTCACTTAAAAGAGCCTCCAGCTCCCTCTTGGCTGCTGGATCCGTGTCCTTTCCCACCTCTAGTTTGGGGACGTGTGACCCCCTCCCTCTGTTAACTGCTGTGCTGTGTCCTGTGTGTGCAGCTCATGCAGGGGAAGATGGCAGACATGTACACGCGGCTCATGGCGTGCCGGCAGTACGTCTACAACGTGGCCAAGGCCTGTGACCAGGGCCACTTCAACGCCAAGGTGAGCTCAGCTCCCGCCCGGCCCGGCTGTCCTGGGGCAATTCCTCTGGTCCCAGAGCCCAGCCCGGGGGGAGGCTCTCTGCAATGAGCCCTCACACCCCAAAGGGCTGTTTTCCACTCCCAAATGAAAAGCAAGCCTCCTTCTACAAGGCAACAGTTTTAGCAGCATCAGTAGGGGTTTATTGGAAGCCCAAACACCTCTCCACGACTGTTGTAAGGGCTGGAGCAGTCGTTGGAGGTGTTGTCACCTCCACAATGCCACCACACCTCTGTCAGAGGAGGAGACTGAGTGTTAAACAGCGGGAGCACAGAGCTCTGCATCCCACATCAACTCACGTTGGTCTCCTGTGGGTTTGATGGGCGTCTGTGAGAGGCCAGCTCCCCTGCTGCTCTCTTGGTCTCTTTTTTCTCCTCTTTCTGTCTTCACAACTTTTGTGCGGTGACAGGGACACTGCTGCAGCCCCCTGTGCCCTGGGATCGGGTGTTCAGGGTTCTTAGCAGGTGTAGAGTCATGGCAAGGTCGGGGCAGCAGGGGACCCCTCTGCTCACTGTCCTGTGTCCCCCAGGACTGCGCCGGGGTGATCCTGTACTCGGCAGAGTGTGCGACGCAGGTGGCTCTGGACGGGATCCAGTGCCTGGGTGAGTCCCTGACGGCTCCGGAGAGCTCTTGTCTCTCCCGCCCCACCCTCCGCCCCTGGAATGGGGGCCGGGGCTGACGTTGGCTTGTTGTGGGTGCAGGTGGGAACGGCTACATCAATGACTACCCCATGGGGCGGTTCCTGCGCGACGCCAAGCTCTACGAGATCGGGGCGGGCACCAGCGAGGTGCGCAGGCTCATCATCGGCAGGGCCTTCAACGCCACCTTCCAGTAACGGCCCCGGGGCGGGGGCAGCGCCGGCACCACGAGGCCTTGGGCACGAGGCTGGAGCGCACAACTGCTTCCCGCTTGCCATCCTGGCACTGCCACCCACGGACTCCCCTCCGCCCGCTCTGGCAACAAAAGCTGCTGGAGTGGGCTGGGACAAAGGGATCAGAGGGTGGCATGGCAGGAGAAGGGTTTTGTCTCGTTGTGATCGTCCTGATTCACACTGTTCCTGAGCTGTTGATCCTCAGCATTGCAGGGCCGAGGGTCTGTCCCCCCACCAGGACAGGCTGGCGAGGGCTGTGCAGCCATTGCTGAGCACAGAAAGTCAACCCAAAAAAAGCCAAAATGGACAAGGAGGGAGCAATTTTATTCTTTTCCAAAAGTGCCATTAACCAGTTAGCATTTAGCATATTGCCACTGGAAGGTGGAACTTCCTTCCAGTGGGATTAATGCCTTTCATTTTGGGAACTCGACGGCAACATCGTGGGGTGGCTGCTCATCAATGCTCAGCATCATCCGTGCACAGGCAGTGTTTTAGGTGCTGGTTCCTAAGGCCTCCTTAAATCCCACATCTGCTGGTTTGCAGAATTCCATTCTATTTGCAGAATTCTTCTCTTATTCCGGCTGCTTCTGGAGGTATTTTGGTGCAGCCCTGAGTCCTTGCTGTGCTGACCCACTGCTCCCACCGGGTCATTCCCTCAGAGGTGCCACCATCCATTGCTCTGGGGACAATCAGACCTGTATTGTGACATCTATGGATGAAGCAGGCAGGAGGAGTTGACTTTTTGGGGGTTTTGTTCTCTGAAGGTTGTTGTTTTGGCAAAGCCTGTCCTCACACTCCACCTCCAGCTGGAGCGAGCACAGGGTGTTTGGGGGTGATCCCAGTGTATATTTTGTACAGCAGATTGAGGTTGATTTGGCTTTGTTAAAGGAAATTGCACAGTGTCCTGCCAGCTTTAAAGAGTGAATCACAAATCAAAATGGGATGCTGGAAATAGGATTGAACAGTTAATGAATTAAACAGTTGCCATGTAGGCAACTCCCAGCAGTTTTAACAGAAATCACCTTGAAGTGTGTGTATTTTGTGGTTGTAGTTCACACCTGTCCATACCAGGGGACAGACTGACACACAATTTTAAAATGCCACAGATTGAAGAAAATTCACTCACCTCAGTCACCAGGTAAGTCACCAGGAGTTTATGAAAGTCACAAAGAGCCAGAAAAAGCTTCTAAAGTCCTGGTGGCAGCACCTTCTTCCTAAACTTGGTATTTACTCAGCCTCGGTGGGGCTCCACCTGGGAAGCATCCCAGGGTTTAATTTTCAGCCTAAATCTCTGGACAGGGTGTGGACAGAGGTGGCCTGTCAGGAATATCATCCTGAGCTGCACCAAATGCTGTGGAAGTGAACCTTGAGGTGCACGTGGGAAACACTCAGTGCACTGTTGTACAGGGCTATGAGAATTTACTCCCATGACCAGACATTTGTGTTTTATCACAGCACAATTCCTGGATCACTGTTAAGATCCATCTCTGCCAGAGGAGCTTCTCCAAGGAGTGTCAGAGCCACGACAGGGTGGTGCGAGATTCAGATTGTTAAAAATAGCTTTTCTAGGTGGAAGGGACCTGGAGATTTTTAAACCTGTCCTCTACCACTGGAGAGGCCTGATTTTAATACACATACTTAATAATGCCTTCACTTTCCAGGCTGATCAGCACCTTGGAGTTGAAGGTAAAATGAATCAATGTCTAAGGGATCACAGGGCAGGGGAGGGAGAGATTCATAAATCCTCAGCAGGGTTGTGTTATTCAAATCTCACTCCCTTCCACAGCTGCCTTGGGAAGGGGCTGGAAAGAAGGGCTTGGGAGGGCTTCTTGGGGGAAAAGGGGGTTAATATTTATGCTACACTAATAAAATCAGCTTTTGCTGTGGCCTGTGCTGCTGGAGGGGGTCCCAGCAGAGGGAAGTGCAGGATCTGGTTCTGGTTCCTGAGCTGGCAGCAACGGGTAGTGTTGCTTTCTTTGCTTATCCCTCCCTCTGTCTTCCCAACCACAGCTTTCCCCCCTAATTCTCATTTAAAATAAATACATTTACAGTGATCCATGTGGGCTGTGCCTCGGGCCTCCTCTGGAGAGCAGCAAAGCTAACAGGGAACACACAGAGTGCCGTGCCTCTGGGCATGATCCAACTGTGTCTGCCATGGATTTGTGATGGAAATTGGCCTGGCCTGACAGCCCTTGGCTGGTGGCAGGGCTGGATGTGCTGCATCTTCCCAGCTTTTCGAGATCCTTGCCCTGTGTGCAGCTGGCTGGCCACTGAGCAGAGGAGGCACAGAGAGCAGAGGGAATTATTCATGAAGGTAACACAATTTATTTCAGCAGTGTGGGATTTGGAAGGAGGGTCAGCAAGTGACAGGAAGAGAGGATGTAACCTCAAGCTGTGCCAGGGGAGGTTCAGGCTCAACATCAGGAAGAATTTCTTCACAGAAAGGGTGGTCAGGCATTGGAAGGGGCTGCCCAGGGGGGTGGTGGAGTCCCCATCCCTGGAGGTGTCCAAGGAATGACTGGATGTGGCACTCAGTGCTCCGGGCTGGGTGACAGGGTGGGCATTGGGCACAGGGTGGACTCCATGGGCTGGGAGGGCCTTTCCAACCTCAGTGATTCTGGGATCCGTAAGGAAGTGGCACATAGATTGTTGGGAACACAGAAATGCTGCCTGTGCTGGGGAAGGCAGGAGGGAGAACCTGTGCCCAGCAGAACCTTTCAGTGAAATGGTTCTGAGGTGTTCCCAGGTTCTTTGGCTGTGTGAAGCCCCTGTCCTGCAGCAGCCAGCTCGGTGTCACAGGTCAGCAGTTGATTTATGTGCTTTGGGCACAGGAAGGGCTGGACTGTGTCCTTCTGCCACGGGTGCTGCAGCTCTGCTCTCTTCAGTTCCTCCCGTGCAAGGAGCTGTGGTAAATTCCTCACGCCAGTGCTGTCAGGAACTTGTTTGTAACTTGTTCCTTAATTGATCCCTTTTGCTCCATGAGTCCTCTTCTGGAGCTGTTTGCAGGGAAAGCCAACCTGAGGTAGAAAAACTGGGCTCACGGTGAGCTGGGGCACTGCCCGTGTTTGATGCAGAAACCCGAGGCAAGTAAAAGATGTAGTGGAGAAGATGGGCCATGACATCTCTGGGGTTCTGCCTCGTGCTGCCTGGGGCAGAAGGGAGCACAGCTCCTCCAAGCTGTGTCCAAAACTGGAGTTTAGGAGGGGCTGGTGGTGTTGGGGATGCCCACAGTGTGAGGGAGCTGTTTGCTGTATAAACACACCAGGGACTGCTGTGTTAAAATGTGTCTGTGAGGGAAAAGCTGCTGTGGAGGGTCTGGGCCACAGTGGGGCCACCTGGGCTGCCAGCCCCTGGGCCTGGGGAGCCACGGCTGGGCTGTGATTACAGCAAACCTCGCTGGGAAAGGTGAAACCACACCGAGAGGTGCAGGATGTGGGAGAGGGCCCCGCGTTTGCACAGCACCCTGGGCAGGGCAGTGGCTGTCCCCGCTCCTCCCCAGGGGCCTGGGTGCCGTACTTTCCCACCCAAAAACCCCTCCTGAGTCCTTGCTGGGGCTGCCAGATGGGATTCCCGGCTGCCCTGTGTCACTGCCTGTTCCAGGGGCGGGCAGGAACCCTCAGCCCGTGCTGGGGGCAGTGTGTTCGTGCTCGTGGCTGTGTGTTTGTGGGGCAGAGGATGCGGTTTCTTGCCTGGGGAGCTGCTCCATGAGGGGAAGTGAGGCTTTGACAACCCGTGGGGAGATGGTGTTTCCCTCCCGTGCTGGGCTCTGAGTGATTTCAGTACAGGGTGACACATAACGAAAGTGTCAGCGAGTCCTGATTTCACTGTGCGGGGCTGTGCTGGGGCCGAGCTCTGTGGTGGTGCCTGAGCGGCGTGTGGCTCATTGCTCCATCCCTGCGGAGGCTCCCGCCTCCCTGCTGCAGCTCAGCACGCTGTGTTATTCCATAACCTCTGCCCGTTTAGATCCCACTCACCTCTCAGCGCCCCCCCGGGGCTCCGGGCAGCGTTAAACACGGGGGACAGAAAGGGACCTGCTGCTGTGCCACCTCTGTGCCCCCACATGCGGGTGATGAGCCGGTTTCTCTGCCAGGCTGGGGGCGAGAGCCCACAAAGCCACGTGTACCCGCAGCCACGGGTGCAGGCAGAGAGGACACGGTCCCGGTGTCCCGGTGGCCGCTCCGTGCCCGTGTCCCGGCGGCAGCTGCCCGCTCCTCCCGCACAGCCGTGCCGGCCACGCCGCCCTCGCAGCGAGGCACCCGCTCCTCCCAGCCACGGCCCCGCAGCAAGACCAGAAAGAGATTTCTTTTCAATCTATACAAGAATTCACAACTGTGAAGGGGAGACAAAAACATTCTTGAGCCGAGGGGACAATATTGAGCCAGGGGGGCGCGGGGGGGCCGCGGGATTACTGTAGCACAGCCCGGGGTCGCCCCGCTTGCACCTGCTGTTTGCTGAAAGGCTGATGCTGAGCAACAAGCAGCTGATGCTGAGGCCCAGTTGTCAGCCTGAATGGGGGGAAAAAGGCTGGAGCAGCGCTCGCCAGAGGGAATGGCAGCGGCCCAGCGCCGGCGGGAGGAGGGAGCTGCCGGGGGAGGGGGGACAGCAGCCGGCTCCCCTCGGCACGTGGAGCTCCAGGCAGACCCGGAGGTGTGGGGATCTGTCAATCCGGAGGGATCTAGGGGAAATGGGGCGATCCTGAACCCCTGAAGAACGCGAGCTCTCCCCAAGCTCCTCCTCGCTCCAGCCCTAAGCTGCCACAATGAGTGGGGGGGGTGATGTCCCCCCCAAAACTTTGAGGCAGTGCTGCTGCAGGACACCCTGCCCTTCTCCACTGATGTCCTCCAGGCAAGAGGAAGGGTTCTTTTCAGGAAGAATTTCTTCAAGGAAAGGGCTGTCAGGCATTGGAAGGGGCTGCCCAGGGAGGTGGTGGAGTCCCCATCCCTGGAGGTGTCCAAGGAACGACTGGATATGGCACTCAGTGCTCTGGGCTGGGGGACAAGATGGACTCGATGTGGATCTTCCCACACGGAGCAGGGCAGAGAGGGAACAGGGAGTTTCTGGAGGTGTCTCAGTGGATCGAGGGGCTGCCCCCTCCTTCGTGGGGCTGTCTGGTGTCGGAGCCGGGACTGCCCGGGGGGGATTTTCCAGCCCTCTGCTGCAGCTGCCTCCCAGAGCAGAGGTGGGAGCGTTTTCCTGCAGCTGTTGGAGGGATGGAAACAGCCTGTGTGCCCCGAGTGTCTGCAGGGCTGTACTGGATCGATGCTCCCGCCGTGGGCCAACCATCCCCTGTGCTGGGGCTTCAGCAAACACACAGCCTGTGTCTGTGTCTGTGTCCTCTCCGTGCCTTGCTGCAGAGCTCGGAGCTTCTCCGCAGGGAAAACAAGCCCAGTGCTGGTCTGAAGAAGCTCAAGACCTGCAGGAAAGGAAAAAGCAGGAGCTGCCTGGTGAGTCCCACACAGAGGAGAAGATCGAGTGGTTATTTTTGGAGCCCAGCAGGGTCCTTGATGTGATTTAGTGCCTGGGTGCTCCTGCTGGCACGAGGAGAGGTGGCTGTGCCAAGGGGGTGGCCTGGCCCTGTCCCCACCGATGGGACCTGCCTGGGAAATGCCCAGGGATGGTTTCTTTGCCTTGGGTACAGCTGAAGCTCCCCAGCTCTGGGAGCTTCCCCGAGGAGCTGGCATCACATTGGCACTGAACGTGCCCGCCCGGGGCTGGTGTTCCCCAGAGCCGGCGTTTCCAACACGGCTCCGCAGAGCTTCCTGGGGGGACCACGAGGGCGTGTGACACTCGAGGCTGGGAAGGGCACTGTCTTTCCTGGATTTTTACAGGGACCATCTCCTGCTCTGAGATGTGATGTCAGTCCCGCCCCAGGGATCCCTGTGCCCGTGGGAGCAGCCAGGATCCACGTGGGACCTGGGACTGGTTTCTCTCCTGAGGAGGCGGCTGCGTCGCAGCACGCAGAGGAACCCACCCTCTTCTATGATGACTAAGCATGACTTGGAAAACCAGCAGCCTCCCTGCAGCTTCCACAGGCTGCTTTTGTTATTAGAAAACCCCTTTCATCTCTGTTTTCTCTGTGGCAGCATCTCCTGGGAGCCACAGGCAGGATGGAGCCCGTTCTGCCTGGTGTCCTTCGCACACAGGTCAGAACCTCAGCACCCCTGAGCTCCCCAAAACTGCTGCCAGCAGCATGTCAGGTCCACCCTCCTCTGCCTCCGGCCCTGGGTCAGGCTGGAGGTGAACATCCTCGGAGTGATCCTCAGGGGCAGGAATCCTTTGCCTCCTGCTCTTTGCTTGATTTGCCTTTGCTCCCGAGCCAGGTGTGATGGAGGGAGGCTGCGCTCCAGCACGGAGCTTCTGCCAGGAGCTGTCAGGAGCCACAGGCAAGCACATGATTGAAAAGCCAACGTGCCACAGCAGGGCTGGTTTGAGTTGCAAAAGAGCTGTTTTGGTGAAATGTGAAAAACGCTGCGAGTTCAGGCAGGTCCCACCTCTGGGCTGTTGTTTGTGAGGGCAGGAGTGGCACTGACCCCCAAAACCCACATTCTGGGAGGGCAGGACTAGCTGCAGGGTCCTTTGGGGAGAGAGGGCTCGTGGACCAGCAAGGGAATAGTCACCTCCATGGGTCTGCCAAGGGAATCTATTTCCCCCTGCCAGGTGAGCACCTCACCCCTCGGAAGGGACCGAGCTGTGCTGAGGGCTGAAGGAACTTGCCCGGGGTCATCAGGGTTGTCTGTAGCAGAGAAGAACAAAAACTCCCGTGGGCTTATGAGTCACCATCATTTCTGATTCATCTTGTGATTAAAAAACACAATTTGGTGCTGCTGGGTCAGGACTTGGTGTCCAATCATCGATGATTCTTATGCCTTTCCCCCGGGGAGTTAAAAAGCTTTTTAATGCTTAACATATTCCCTCTGCAGGTTCTTCCATATGGCATTGACCTCCTCCCCAGCATCCCGGGATAACCCAAACAGGTTCATCTCCACTACAGGTGGACCAAGACCAGAACCAGCCTCATTTTCCTCTCCCTGCCTGATATCGAGGTGCAAATGCA